AGGGAGAGGGAGAGGGAGAGGGAGAGAGGTGAGAGAGAGAGAGAAAGAGTCCTCAATTTATGTATCAATAAAAATCATCTAAATGTTTATTTATGTATAATCATACAGAGTACATTTATAGTAAACAAGAATAAATATGACAAAATTCTTTAATATTTTAAAATTTATTTGTCATGATAATTGCATTCATATAAATTTTAATAATAGTAATCAATTTAAAAAAAAGCTATCAATAATTTATGTTTTTGAGTAGAATTCTGTATAAATTAGAGAAACCTAAACGAAACGTGTTTATATACCGTATACTTTATTTCATTGAAAAATGACAATACACTATAAGTAGTAATTAATTACATTAAACCAATAGAAATTTTCAAAAAATATTTACCAAAGGAATTTCTAAAATAAATTAAATTTTGCATTTAATTAATATGGTATAATATAATATTTGAAGTCATTTGACCAAAAATAAGTACTAATAAATATCCAATGTTTATATTTTTTGGGTGTATCTTATTAGTATTTTTATGAATTATTTATTAATTTGAGTAAAAATATTTTTGCTATAAAAATACATTTTAATTTTACCAGTATTTATTGGGTTATCAAATGCGAGTAAGTATATTAATTAATTAAAATAATTTTTATATTTTAACCAAATGGTTAGTAGATTTTTTAGAAATTAAAAATAGCTCTTAAGAGTGTAATTGATATTGACATTCAATAAAACTTGATATAAATTAATTTTACTTATAATATTAACTTTAAATATCATAGACATTGCTGACAATTATGATTTCGTAAACTTTACCTTTGAATTGTATTATCAAAACCTATGATTTGTATTATTTAGATAAGTAATATATGATTATTTATATGTATTATATGTTTTTTATAATTATTAATATTATATAAGTAATATAAAAATAATTTTATTAACATAAAAAATATTTGCCTTACTTTTTATACACATGTATGTAGAAAATGAAGTCTCAAAACATGTGCCTTTTGTTAACACATGATAAAAAATATATATATATATAACAAAATTCTTAAAGTATAAACTAAAACACGTTTAAACACCCCTTTGCAATCACATATAAATAAATACTTTTTTCACTAGTTAATTATATTTTAGTTAATTATATTTTTTAATTTCAAAAACACTTTCGACACTCGCATTGAAACTCAATAATGAATGAACGGTTTGTGTGTTAATGAATGGAGTAGTGATGAGTCAAACATCACTTGTGGTGATAACATACTTATGTATTGTGCGATAAGTGGTGTATAGCTTTTTTCTTAACTACCAGTGCTCGAGCATTTTATATACAATAACATTGCGATGGGACTGATAAGGGGAAGGGGTGTTCATTTTATACTATTTATGTCACTAATGTACTGAAATAAATAAAAGTCGAGAGTTATGTCCCAGTGTACTTATACTGAGGTACACTATTAATAAAAACACTTGATTAAATGGTATTGCAAGGGTATTGTGTACTTGCTATTTAAATATTGTGTAGATAGTTATAGTGCAGTCATAGTGTGGCCATACTTAGATCCCTGACCCCAAAGGGCTAATATTTCCAAAATATTTTTGATACAAATATTGATTTTGGTGATATTTGTTTTGGCATATGATTTGTGAACTAATTTGTATATCAAAATTACAAATAATTTTGGGGAAATTTTTCCGATTTTTAGATAAAATGCTTACAAAATTTATTGAGACATTAAATGAGAGAAAAATATTTAACAATTTTATTTATTTAATTAAAAACTTGTTTCACAAATTATTATAACAAAATATAATATCATATAAGTAGTGGAATAAATAGTAAATTAATATAATTTTTATGCATTTATTTAGAGAATTATGATTTTTATTTATTTTTTATTAACCAATTATTTGGAAAGTTATTTATATAATTGTTATTCAAATGTTTATTTATTTTATATATAATCATAATCACTTAACATTTTGTGTATAAACTATACAACTAAACAACAAGTTTATAACGTTATAAGAATAAATGAAAATACACTATACAAAACAACTTAATAACAAAATACTTATTTAATGTTGAATAAATTACTTAATACTTTGAAATTTTTGCCTTTATGTGTGTTTTTCTATTGAAAAATATAAAAATAAACGTAAAATAAACAGAATATTCTTGAATAGGAGTCCTATTCATACACTAAATATAAGGTGTATAATACAGTCAAATCCCATTATATGTGCTATCATAAATAAGCTTTCATAAATAAATTTAATCCCTATAAACACATTGAATATAGCGAGATATGACCATACTATACAATCAATTTTAGATTTAATTTTTAAAAATAGTTTTCAAATTACTTTTGGTTATGTCTGTCATGTGTTTGTCGCAGGCCTTCACGGGTCGGCACTTATTATATGAGCGAAAATAAAAGTTGAGAAATAGGACCAGAAATATAGGGGGTTGACTACCACCCAGCCATAGGTATACGGGCCGGTAGCCCCTGTAGAAGGGCAGTGTCAGCGAACAGTACACCAGTAGTATGACAAATTGAATTAACTGTAAATATAAATAACAGAAATTAATAAAAGTCCATGTTATCAATCCCATTAAAATAATTATATAATTTTTATCAACATTTATAGCATATTCATCATTAACACTATTATACTCTAATAAATATAGCTAATAATGATAAATATAATCTATATATATAATTAAATTTGATTAACTTGGTCATGTTTTATGGTAATATAATTTTAATGTATCTTATGATTGACCTGTATTTGTGTGATGTATCTCTTCCACCACAAGTATTTCTGTATGTTAGGTCCAAAGGCCGCCAAAGCATAGTATGAATACATGATAACGTGGACAGTCGTGTTCAGTATACAGAATAGCAGAATCGCCGGCACCAGTGGTTCCACTTTCATGACTATCCACCCCAACACTGGTACTGAAAAATGATGGTACAGGTGCAGCACTGTTATCTAATTAAATATTATTAAGCAATGCATGAATTATAAAAGTTATAAAATATTTTTATAAAATATCTATTAATTCTTTACTATTTACAATTATATTTTTCTAACAAAAACTACACCAAAATGTTGGAAATATATTAAAATTTTATGTGCGATTCATAAAATGTTCACAAAATGCTTACCCTGGTCATAATTTTAGTTTTACTGCTTGCATCTCTTTTTTTGTGTAATACCATAGGAATACAAGTCACTGAGTGCTCGCATCAATGCTTTGTATTCATAGCGCTCTAAGAAATTCACGATTTTTTGCAAATAAAACAGACATGCATGTAGTAAAAACTAAAATTATGACCAGGGTATGAATTATATGAACATTTAAGGAATCGCACATAAAATGTTAATATTTCCAACATTTTGTTGTAGTTTTTGTTGGAAAAATATAATTGTAAATATTTTTAATTTTTTATTCAAATTCTGCTAATACGCTGGGACACCCTATATATATTATAGCGTATTACTTTTATTTAAATTGAGTAGGTTTTTGTAATTTGAGTAATTTGCTTTATTTGTAAAATTTACGACAAAAGTATTAGGTAATTACAGGTTTGTGATTGATGCACTTATTGATTTGCACTTAAAACTTAAAATTATATTATATTTTTTAGTCACATTTTGTATAACACTTTCTCTCACATAAGGATAAATAGTTTTGAAAATATAAACAATTTTTAATGAAATGAAATTTCTAGGACAGAGTTTTGCATTTAAAAGTTTATTAAATTTAATTAAAGTTAGTTTACTTTTCTTGAACTTGACTTTCATATGATATTTTAAAATATTTTGATTATAAAATTTAAACTGATTTTAAATTTCAATTTTATTTCTGATTTGCGAGTTTAGTTAAACCATAAAAATTAAAAATATTTTTATATTATTTTAATTTAATATCAGATATCTCATAAATAAGTCTCTAATAATCTATTGGTTTTGATGTTTTTTAGTTAATCTTTGTTAAATTGTAATTTATACATTTTTAAAACAAAAATACCTGGTATTTATATAAATATGAACAAGTTCCTCTCTCTCTCTCTCTCTCTCTCTCGTAATTTAAGAAAATTTTAAAATAAAAATAAATCGATTTTTGAATATTATTGTCAATATTATGTAATGTTCATTTTAAACCGATTTTTTATTTTAAAGTTAACAATATCTGTACTATATGAAAATACCTGTACAATACAAAACATATCAAATGAAAATAATTTTATTGCATATTTTAATTAACAATTTGTAATTAACAATTTTAGAATTATTAAATTGAAAATATATGTTACAAGAGTAATTTATAAAGAGATAATAATATAATGAACATATTTGTCACTTACCTGTGAATACTTTTTTCGCATCACAAAAAAGATCGTATCCAACAGATCGACAAATTTAGTCAAATAATACAAATACACAACACGTATGGAACTCAGCGTATATGGGGACCAGTCGTTATGGTCGGGTGCGTTCAGCTCCAGTAGTCGGGTACCAAAGTTGATGACAATCATGAACTCATAGAGAAAATACGCGTTGACGGCAACCATTAGTATATTATAAACAAGCATAACGTTCCGCAACTCATAGGGGCGCCGGTAGTTCATAACTGCCGGACCAATGAGTTTGACAATGAGTAGGTAGGCCAGCATTACGAGCAACATAGGTGTCGGGCCCCCAGTAAACAACATGAAGTCGCGGACCCGGGGGTCGCCCTCCCGGTTCCAAAACTGGTCGGTCAGTACATATAACGACGACATTATTATTACTTAATAGTAACTAAACCTAATTTAATTAGCAATTAGTTTTAACAAAACTGTATTCAACAAACTTTTATTGAATTATGAATTATAACTGTAAATAATAACATAAAAATATGGTTTAATATGATTACTATTTAAAAATATTGCTAAATATAATTCATACAAATGGATATAAAGTTTGCAAAAAGATATTTTGCTACGATTTTCAAGTGAACTCTTTTTTGCAAAGTGTGGAAAAGTGTTTGCAAAAACTTTTTTGGCACTCAAAACACAAAACGTTTTTTCCTAATTAGAGGAAAATATTCACATAAAAATATTTTCACTCACTTTTTGTGTGCTAAAAGCCTGTATATAAATTTTTGTTTTGTATTAAACGTTAAGATTATATAAGAGACTCACACTTTAAACATATGATTTAGAGATTATATAATAAGAAATTTAATTTCTTTGCGATTTTTGTGCATAAAATTGCAAATATTTTCTTCCTTTAGGCGAATATTTTTATGTGTCATTCGTATTAGTATTACACGTTTTGCAGCAAAACTATTTGGTTTTATTATTTTCGTAGTGTTTGTCACATATTTCATAGGATTGCTCTTAATTTCAAGTTACTTGTTAATATGTACTAGTAATACAATTTATTAAATAAATTATAAATTTAATATTAGTATACATAGTATTTGCTTTTATCTAAAATTATTTGTATTCACAATAAAAATGTAGTGACAATAACTTATTGACATACGCTATACTGTATTCACAAGCATTATAACAACAAATACAGTAACACCAAATTTAAATTATTATTTAAAGGCAATTCTTTAAAAAGCATAGCAATAGAAAATATTTGATTGTAAAGTTATAGACCATACTGTTCCCAAATAGGCCAGCTGGCCATTTTCATAACACGTATATTATAATTTTCATAAACTTTGTGATATTAGAAAGTGAGTGAAAGTTTTACATTTCACATTATTTTAATATGAAATCATAAGTTACAGTATTTCAATACTGAGTTAATACAAAAAACCTTATAATTACACGAATGAAATACATTGAGTCAATATGTTTTGCTTTTCTTAGAAACTTAAAAATTCATATCTGTTTTTCACTTAAGTTTTAATGTTTTCACTTAAGACAGGTGACCATAAAAACAAGAAAACTTGTAATGATATTTGTGACTATAAAATACTTTATCTACTGATAATCTATGGTAAAATTATCAATTATATCTGTATAAATTCAAATTATTTAAGGCGCCAGCATTCACTGTTGTAGACAATGTATATGAAAATAATAGTTTCTACAAAATTGAGCTTCATAAATGAAATCATATTGTTAAATATTTGCAGATTATTTTGAAAATTAAATTCTTATCATTTTGAGGACAGAGATTACTGTCATTTAATTCAGTGTCAAAACTAATAAGACCTTAAAGCAGAAAATATAAATAAACTGTATACAGGTCGCTTTTTTAAGAATTGAGAAATATTTGTTTTATAAAATATTTAATTTCTACTACGATTTTCAACTAATAAATTAAAAATAAAATTTAATATTTTAAATATATTAGATTAGAGTCTACTTTACTTATAGTAGTTTTATTAAAATCAATTTCAATTAAAATTCTTAAT